TTTTTTTTTTTCAATTGATGTTGTTGTTCAGTCGATTGACTAGGGTCACGGCACCAGTGTTACAGAGGCTCTCACTGTAACGTAAATCAATAGAAGATAGAAAATTTGTTTTCTTCGTAACCAACAACAACAACCCTTAATTTCAATTTTATTTTTCTTATACCCTCTTCCCAATCTTATATAAACCAAAAACAAAAAAAATATACATATATTCACATCGAGAAAGCAAGAGAGAGAGATATAGAGAGATAAGTAAAATACAAAGAGAGAAAAATGAAAGTGGTGAATATCTATCTTCAACTCCAGCCTGGACTATTTAATTATCAAGATGACGTCCGACATCTTCTATTAAATTGCCCTTAAGTTTGATGAAGAGAAGAAAAGACTGAGAATGTATTGAAATTCTCACGGACGACAGAATTGAAGAGGAGAAAAGAAGGAGAGAGAAAGAGAGGAGAACAAAAAAAAGAAATACATTGACCTTCGTATATAGGGTGGATAACGTATATCCGAATGATGACGCACACACACACACACACAAGTTGAAGAAAAGAGATAAAATAAAGATGTATGTTAGAGTGCTCTCTAACACCATCCCCGTGCCCACTAAAATCGGGCGAAGCACGATTTACAAACTAAATTTTTCACCACGTAGAGAAAGACAAAATACACAAAAAAAATAATAATAAAATACGCATAACAATAACATTAACTACAAGAATATAACAACAAAGTTAATAACAAAAAACATAAATAAATATAACAGTACACAAGTTACAAGGAGAATAGTTCTTCTTTTTTTTCGTTAATTTGTACTTATTGATAACATCGACGTATACGATTAGTGTGTACATTAATTATTTGATGGAGATCAGTAGGGTTTTGTACTCGATATGTAGAATTATTCAGCTGTTGAATTACTTGATATGGACCAACATATTTTGGTGCTAATTTATGATTCAATCCTAATCGTTTAATATAAACAAAATCTCCAATTGAATAAATATTATTTGTACGATTAGTATCATAATGTTGTTTTGATTTTTTCTGACTATGTTCAATATTCGTACGAGCCACCTGTTTCGCTAATTCTAAATATTCTTGTAATTGTTTAACGTATTGATGAGGTTCGATAATTGTTGTTGTTCGTTTTGGTAAATCAAATGGTAATTTAATTTCACGTCCAAACATCAGTTCAAATGGTGTAAATTTTGTATTGGCATGACGAGTTGTATTATAAGCAAATATTACTTTTGATAATTTTTCATCCCAATCGGTTCTTTTATTATTACATATTGAAGCTAAAGTATCACACATGGATGCATTAAATCGTTCACAGACACCATTTGATTGAGGATTGTATGGCGTTGTAAATATATGACAAACACCACATAATTTCATAATATCATTAAATAATTCAGCAGTGAAATGTGTACCATTATCAGTTAATATTTGTTTTGGTGTTCCATATTTAAGTATTACTTCTTCTACTAATACTTTTGATGCAGTTAAAGCTGAATTATCACGTGTGGCTTTTGCAATAACATATTTGGATAATAAATCAGTAATAACTAATATATATTTATTTCCTGTTGATGATAATGGTGTTATTGGACCCATGAAATCCATAGCTAAATTTTCCCATACACCTTCAGGTGGATTAACTTGATTTAAATGACCATTTGATTTTCTTCTTGAATACTTATTAATTGAACAGTTTGGACATGACTTAACATGTTGTGCAATATCATTGTACATTCTTGGCCAATAATAACGATCACGAATTTTATAATATGTTCGATCTTTACCAAAATGTGCACCATTCATTGATGAATTGTGATAAGCTAATAATACATCTTTAATTTTGGTTTGTGGCACTACTGGTACAGCTATAATTCTATTAACTCTATTAATATTACGATATAATATATCATTTTTGATACAATATTCAATTTTAAATGGATTTTTATCAATATTTTCTAAAATTTTCTTGATGGAAATGTCTTGCTGTTGATAAAATTTTAATTGTTCAGTTGTAAAAACATTAATTTGATTTGTTGTATTTAATGAATTTAAATGTTGATCGGATTGTGTTGTTGTTGAGATGTTTGTACTTGTTTGTACCGTTTTTTGGTGATGATTCATAGCACGAGTTGCAACTACACCGATAATTGATGGTTGTGCTTCAGTTTGAGTTGAAATTGACTTATGTTCGGTTTCATCATCAAATGATGAGTCAACTGGATAACGAGAAAGACAATCAGCAACACAATTTTTATTACCTTTTACATGTTCAATTTTAAATGTATAATCTTGAAGTGCCATTCTCCATCGGTTAAGTTTCGGGTTGCTGTTGTACTTCCGATTCAACCAACATAATGCATGATGATCAGTTCGAACTATAAATTCTTGACCAGCTACATAATGATTCCATTTACGTATTGATGATACAACAGCAAAGCATTCCTTTTCAGTTGCGTTCCAGTTCTGTTGTTGTTTATTTAATTTTTGGGACATATATGCAACTGGTTGTTCACCTTTGTCAGTGTTTTGCATCAACACTGCACCAATACCATAATTAGATGCATCTACCTGGATGATAAATGGTAGATTCGAATCAGGAAATTGAAGTAGTGGCTTCGATGTTAATAATTGTTTAATTTTATTAAATGAATTTTGTTGTTGATCACCCCATACAAATTTTGCGTTTTTCTTTGTTAAATCAAATAATGGTTGTGCTAATGTGGAGAAGTTAGGTATATGACTCCGGTAATATTCAGCCATTTTAATAAAAGATGTTGCTGCTTTGATATTATTTGGTACTGGTATATCATTAATTGCACTTACTTTTTCTGGACATGGTGTAATACCTTGTTCATTCACCATATGACCTAAAAATTTAATTTGCCGTTGTACAAATTCACATTTAGTTGGATTCAGATGAAAATTTGCGTGATGCAATAATGATAAAACTTGTTCAAGATGATGTAAATGTTCTTCCATTGATTTGGAATAAATTATAATATCATCAATATATGATAATGCACAATACCATTGTAATCGTCCAAGTAATTTATTAATAATTCTTTGAAATGTTGGAGGACCATTTTTTATACCTTGAGGCATAACGTTATATTCCCAAAATTTATCACGTGTAACAAATGCAGTTTTGGGTTTGTCTGATTCGTCAATTGGAATCTGATGATAACCACCTTGAAAATCAAGTTTAGAAAAATATTTTGAGCCACCTAATGCATCAAATATTTCTTGTATTCGTGGTAATGGATAATTATCTTTTTCTGTTACTTCGTTCAATCTTCTATAATCAATGCAAAATCTCCATGTACCGTCCTTTTTCTTCTGCAACACCACCGGTGATGACCATGGTGAATTTGATGGTCTAATAATATTGTCATGATAAAATTGTTCACACATTTCAGCAATAATTTTCTCTTGTATTGATGTTTTACGATATGGACGTTGAACAATTGGTCGAGTATTTTTTATTTCAATTGTATGTTTAACAGTTGAATTAATTGTTGTTGCTTTAGATGTATCAAAAAGTTCACCATATTTAATTAATAATGATTCAAGTTGTTTTTTTTTCGTTCATCTGTAATATGTTTGACTAAGTTTTTTATTTTCTCAAGTACATCTGGTGGAAGTTGTTTGAAAGATCCATTTATTTCACGTTTAGTATAATGACCAGTTTGATATAAATGTTCAAATAATTGATTCTTTGATTTATATTTTCTATAACATATACGACATTCAAGATCAGGTTCTGTATATGTTTTAACTTGTTGTGTTGGTAACAATGGTAATGATATAGATGTTAATGATGGAAAAGAAATTGTACCAATAATCATATTTGTATTTATATATTGTGGTGAATCATTTGCATTTATCATTGTAATACGTGTTATACCATCTTCAATTTTCAATAATGAATGTGGTATTAATATTCTTTTTTTTTCAATCAAACTTTTTGATGGAGTAAATATAACTGTATCAGCATTTTTTATTTTAACACGTACAGGTACAATAATTTGTTGTTCTGGTAAAATACGAATAGGGTAAATAGGAGAAACCAAATATGATTCTTGATAATAAGTTGAAAATGGAACAGTAACACCATATGATCCTAATTGCTTTCTAATACATTTTTTTGTAGTAATAATATCAATACAATTTTGTGTAATCCAATCATTTCCTAAAACTAATGCTGTACATAAATCAATAGCAACTTCAGCTAAAATAAATGTTGGAATATTTTTTATATTAATTTTCAACTTTACTAGACCTATTGTACGTAATTCACTATTATTTGCTGTTCGATGTATGTTCTTATGATATTTAATATATGGTCGATGTTTTAATTTGTTCAAGGTGTTGATATGAATAATAGAATTAGCTGATCCTGTATCGACCATTGTATTAATAAATGTTTTATTAACTTGTAGATTAACAATAAGAGGTGTAGATGGATTTTTGTTGTTAGAGACAGTACCATCATTCACTGTCTCTATTAGTAGTTTAAATGATGCAAACAATTATTTTGTATATGACCTATTTGTCCACATTTGTAACATTTTCGTTGATTAACATTTTGATAAACATTATTATTTAATTGTCGATAATTCCGAGATAATTTACCACTGTGTTGTTGAGAAGCTGATCTAGGATATGTTGTTTGTTGTTGTTGTTGGTTCCTCACCGGTCGAAATGTTCTTTGAGCACCAGTAATTTGATTATGACGATGTTGTATTGGTTGTTGTGGTTGATTTGGTGTTCTATAATACTGTTGATAAGATTGATGGTAATATGGTCGATGAAGCTGTTGATTCGGTTGAGATGCAGCTATTGTTGAATGATCATTAGATTCGAATACATATTCTGGTTCGGGTAAATTGATAGATCTATTGGATTCACGATGATGAGCCATCACCTTTTCACTAGATTCAAAATTTTTTGCTTGTATCATAAATTGTTCAGGTGTTTGAACATTTAATGGTAATAGTTTTTCTTTTAGTTCTTCTCGAAGTCCACCAACTAATTTTATGGTTTTATCAATAGCAGACATTTGTGGATCATATTCTCGACATAACTTGTCTAATGCATAATAATAATCATGTACTGATTCATCAGAATCTTGTTTACGTTGATTTATTTGTTCAGCTAATAAATGTGGATTTTGTGTACGTTCAGGTGGAGGAAATGCTTGTTGTAATTTTTGACGAAATGCCATCCATGTTGCATATGGACCTTGATTATCACGATACCAATCAAATGCAGCATCTTCTAATTTAATACCTATACGAGCTAAACGATTAGCATCATTAATATTGAATGCATCGAATATTATTTCTGCACGATCACACCAATCTCTTGAATTATCTTGTGAAGTACCATGAAATGATTTAATACTTCCAAATGCTCGAGTTAATGCATCAGCCATAGTTGTTGTTATTTGGTGTTGTTGAAAATTAATTTGTCGAATAGGTGATTGAGTTGTAGGTGAATGATGAGATCGAAGATTATAATGAGAGGCCAGTTCTTCCAAATTTCAAGTTAATATTTTTACTAATATATAATTCTGTATCGAATTGGTCTAATTGTATTTTCTCTTATATATATATATATCCTTCTTTTTTTTTTTTCAATTGATGTTGTTGTTCAGTCGATTGACTAGGGTCACGGCACCAGTGTTACAGAGGCTCTCACTGTAACGTAAATCAATAGAAGATAGAAAATTTGTTTTCTTCGTAACCAACAACAACAACCCTTAATTTCAATTTTTATTTTTCTTATACCCTCTTCCCAATCTTATATAAACCAAAAAAAAAAATATATATATATATATTCACATCGAGAAAGCAAGAGAGAGAGATATAGAGAGATAAGTAAAATACAAAGAGAGAAAAATGAAAGTGGTGAATATGTACTTTCAACTCCGGCCTGGACTATTTAATTATGAAGATGACGTCCGACATCTTCTATTAAATGCCCTTAAGTTTGACGAAGAGAAGAAAAGACTGAGAATGTATTGAAATTCTCACGGACGACAGGATTGAAGAGGAGAAAAGAAGGAGAGAGAAAGAGAGGAGAACAAAAAAGAAATACATTGACCTTCGTATATAGGGTGGATAACGTATATCCGAATGATGACGCATACACACACACAAGTTGAAGAAAACAGATAAAATAAAGATGTATGTTAGAGTGCTCTCTAACAATAAGGTATGGGAAAAACGTTCGCGACATTTTCTTATCGATATTAATAGAAAAATTTCTAAGAACTTTTTTTTCATATAATATATGTTGCAGTTGAATTTGAAATATAGTTGAGATTGGAATCGTTTACTTTATTTTGTTTGTTTATAAATTTCGTTAGCACGCACACAAGAAAATTTGTTTGTTTCTTATGAAGTTTATGTTTATTGTTATTTCTTGAATAATGACAATAGATTCCTATTTTATTCGGTTGATAAAGAGTTATCTCAGTTTTTATTTATTGTTTCTTGTGTGAGTGTATAGATTAGTCATGGTATTGATTTCAGTGAAGTTTTAAAACGTAATAATGCTGCAAGATGATGTGCTATAACATCATTTCTCGCTTAATTCGTATGAAATATAGTTAAATGTTTTTTCTGATGCTGGGGACATGGGGACATTGAATGATTGATTGAAACGAAATATAGAGCAAATCAGTCATCTGTATTATTCTATATTTGAAATTTTTTCGAGCAGCGGGACATGGGGACATAGAGCGATTGGTTGAAACGAATTTTAAAATTGCTGAGTCATTACTTTATTTTACTATCAATTTTTGAAATACTCGGGACGTCGGGACATGGAGCGATTGGTTGAAACGAATTTTAGAATTGCTGAGTCATTACTTTATTTTACTATCAATTTTTTGAAACTCTCGGGACGTCGGGACATAGAGCGATTGGTTGAAACGAATTTTAAAACTGCTGAGTCATTAAATAAAAATAATCAACATTAATTATCTTATGACTCATGCTATAATGTTTGCTTGTTTATTGATTCCAAAGTCAACTGAATTCTCAAGTCAACTGTGACATATGCTAAAAGATGCAGCGTGAAAAGCTCTACAACTTGCATAAGATCGCTTTTTTTACAGTTGCACTTTTTGTTTTCAAAATCGTTAAAACTTCGAACGACCAAATTTCGACGATGCGAAAAGATAACACGAATGAGAAATTATCTTTTTTCTTATTTTATCTTTTCATTGCCTGTATATATTGTAGAGCTTTCTATGCTGCATCTTGTGGTGTATTTTGTTTTTTTCATGAAAACATATTAGGAGATAAAATGGTGAAATAAGAAAAAAAGAAATGTCTTTTCATGTTATCTTTTCGTAGCGTCGAAAATTGATCGCACAGAATTTTGGTTTTTTTTTGTATACAAAAAGTAGACAATTAAAATAAGCTTTTCTTCGTGGATTGTAGAGCATTTCACGCTGCATCTTTTAGTATATTATACGAAAAAAAAGTTCTTAGAAATTTTTCTATTAATATCGATAAGAAAATGTCGTGAACTTTTTCCCCATACCTTATTATTCTATGTCTTAATCTTCGTTTCATTACTATGTGTTAAAAAAGCATGCATTTTATCTAAAAATCAAAATTTCATGTTGACTTGTGAAATCTAAGGCATCCTGTATTAGTGATATTGTTTGTATCAAAGAAAAATGTAGTGCACACATCGAATAGAACGTTTTCATGTGCACAAAAAAAAGGTTGGAAAATATTTCATAGAAAAATTGTTTAATTCGATTAATTGGTAGCAATGAGACAAATCGATCGTAATTTCGACTTCTACATATCATTTCGTTGATTAGTCTAAAATGAG